GTCAGGAGGAAGGTGAGTGTGCAGTGAGGTGGATACCTTCCTGGCAGGGCTGGCATGCACTGATGCCCACAGGAATCAGGCAGCCACACAGACTGGGCGTGTGAGTGAGTGAGCAATTGACTGTCAGGAATACGTTCAGACTTGGCTTCTTTTTACTGAACTGGGAGGTAATAAGCCCATAGTGTAGAAACAAGTGACACTTCAAATTGGATTTCTTCTGTAGCAGTTTTTCTGCAGTTTGAAACCTGGCTGAAGGGCTCCCTTTAGCCCACATGGTGCCTTTCTGCTAATTGTACCAGTTACAAAAAGGGACCAGTTGCCATGCCAGGCTTGGCCAGCAATCAAGGCGTTAGTGTGGATCAGACACCCCCTTTTTCGCTGGCCCAAGGGATGGATTTGCCCCAGCTCAACCTCCAGTTGGAGTCCTCGTTCACTGCACAGCCCGGTCAGTCACCCGCAGGGTAGCCTGTCTGGATGGTCCTCTTCACCAGCGTGGGGGATTTGTGTTCTGTTTCATAATGTGCCAATAGAACCCAGTCTTGAGACCATTTACCAGGAGTGATGATTTGTTTTATATACTTGCAAAACACAAAACATCTGTTCTAGCCAAGGAGGGATTGCGTAATTGCGTAGTGGCTTTCAGACTTGGGGGAAGTTCTGCTGGCCCGGGCTCCCTGTTCCTACGCCTCCACTGCGTGCTGCTCAGTCATTCCCACGTGGGCTAACCCACTGGCTTCAGTGACAAACACAAACTCAACAGAGCTGGATCATTTTAGCAAGTTCGAAGTCGGATTAAAACAAACAAACAAACAAAAAACAGAAACAAAAATTCTAATTACCATTACAAGTATATGCAAGGGGGTCCCACAAAATTGTCAGACATTTTTTTTTAAGCCAGGTGGAATTCTGTCTTAAACACCAGAGTTCTGGCATATAATTCAGGCTTTCCCTTTTTAATTTCCTGAAACCAGTATTAGAATAGCCAAGCTGGCTGGATTGTTATCCCAAAAGCACAGTTTTGCTAGAAAGGAGTGAGAATTGAATGTTTCACTGGGCTGCTGCTGGTGTTCACAGCTGCTTACGTGGCAAGGGGGTTGTGATGTGGATCCTGCCTCTGGTAGTCTCTTTCCCATGTGGGGCTTTTTTCGAAGTGGCCTCAGTTGTTCGTTTGGGCCAGCTGGAAGGCTTGCCCACCTGGACGCTATCTGGCTATACGGGGTCCCCGCCTCTCTGCAGTTTCAGGTTTCAGCAGAGTCCTTGCTTTGTCCTGCTGGGTGTGCTTTCTGAGGGAGGAGAGCCATTCCCTGGGGCAGGGTGAGCATCTGTTGGTGACTTTTATGGGAAGGGTTCCCTCTAGTTCTGATGCTGTTTGAAGTCCCTTGGCTTCTTCGAGTCTTCCTCTCACCCAGTTGGCACTACCATGCAAGTCTCTGGACTTTGGCCCATTTCTACTTTATCCGGTTTGTGGGTTTAGGGCTGTTCTCTGTCATCTAGTTTTGTTTTAAAAATTGGTCATGTTGGGAACCAGCAGTTAGCATAATGGCTATGTTGCTGGACTCCCACGTAGTCTACTGCAGTTTGCGTCCTGGACCTGGTGGCTTAAAACTCACACCAGGCACATGTGCGTGCATGCCCAAGATCCTGAGAGGAGAATGGAGGAGAAGGGATTGCGGCGTGACCATCCCCCCTGGGGGGTGATTTCTCGCTTTCTGTCTCTATGTCTCTCTCTGTCTGGTGAGTGCACGCGCCCTGTAGCAAAAACCTCTCCAAAAAAAAAAAAATTGGTCATGTTATCTTAATTGCTCTACCATGTTACTACTCTATTTGCTATCACTTGCTGAACAGAGTTGAAAAGATCATTTCAGTAGGTGTATTAGTTGCTCGGGCTGCTGTAACAGAGTACTACAGGTTGGATGGCTTAAACAACAGAATTGTATTCTCAGAGTCTGGAGGTCAGACAGCTCAGATCAAGGCAGGGCCATGTTTCCCCTGACAGCTCTGGGGAGAGTCCTCCCTTGCCTCTTCCAGCTTCTGATGGCTTCTGGCATTCCTTGGCTTTTGGCAGCATCATTCCCAACACTGCCTTCAAATTCACATCATGTTCTCCTCTTCCTCCCTGTGTCTTCTCTTCTGTATCTTATACTAGTCACTGGGTTTAGGGCCCACCTGGGTAATCTAGGATGTGAACTTGCCTTTTGGGGGGAGGTCACCATTTGACCCACTGCAGTGGGAGAGAATGAGATCATCTGATTTCTTTGCTTTCTTTCTTTTTTTTTAAAGAATTATTTTATTTAGGGGACCAGCAGTTGGTATAATGGCTATGTTGCTAGACTCCCATGTAGTTGACTGCGGTTTGAGTCCTGCACCTAGTGGCTTACACTCACACCGGGTGTGTGTGTGTGTGCATGCCCAAGATCCCGAGAGGAGAATGGAGGAGAAGGGATTGCGGCATGACCATCCCCCTGGGCGGGGGGTGATTTCTCACTTTCTGTCTCTCTGTCTTTCTGGTAAGCACACACGCCCTATGGCACAAACCTCTCAAAAAAAAAAAAAGAATTCTTTATGTATTTAATGGGACGGGGTGGGGGGGAGCAAGCCACCAGGTCCAGGACTTGAACTGCAGTTGGCTATATGGGAGTCCATTGCCCTTAACCACCACACCACCTGCCAGCCCTGAGGTCATCTGATTTCTAAATGGCAACCAAGTCACACTTTGAAAAGTCTGTGCAGGTCTGAATAAGATGCATCTGCTATCCAGTTTGACTTCTTCTGAAGCCCCGTTTGTGTCATTATTCTTACTGTGCATTAAAAACATCTTGGGAACATAGTTACAAAATTCATTGGAGACAGACTGAGCATAGTGGGGGAAAAAAATCCTTAATTTTCAATCCCACTTTTTAAAAAACTATTTGTTTAATTTTTAAATTTATTCATTCACATGTTTTAATTTGACAAGAGAGACAGAGAGAGAGAGAGAGAAGGAAAGCGAGAAAGCAAGTCACCAGGTCCAAGACTCAAACTGTGGTTGACCATGTGGGAGTGTCCAGTGCCTTAACCACCATGCTACCTGCTGGTCCCCTCAATCCCACTTTTGTCACTACTTAGTTTATGGCAGGGATTCCACTGTACTTTTCTTGGGATACCACAGGGCAGTCAGCTCTGAATCTTTGTTTTCCTTTTTGCCTCTGCTTTTTCTTTGACCTTGGATTAGGTCACAGGGAAGCTTTGTTTGAAGCTTTCCAGGTTATATATATATATATATTTAATAGACCACAGATTAGTCCATTTTTAACACCCGTCATGCCATGAATTCATAGGGAATAGGTTCCAGTAGCTCAGGCTGCTCTCCACAGGTTCTCACAAAGTGTGCTTCTCTGGGTGGAGCAGGCTGGAGCTTTAGTTGAACCCAGGTACCTTTCTCTTTGGCTTCTTTCTTTTTCTGGTCATCTTCCCTCACACGTTTCAGGAAGCCATCTCTGCTCTTAGAATGCTCAATACACTCAATGTGCGTATGCACATTGATTTTCTTGGCAAGAATCTTGCCCCCAACCTGCCCGTTCACAACAATGCCAACAGCATGCTGGGCAACACTGTAGACTCTTCCAGTTTTGCCATGGTAACATCTGTGGGGCATTCCTTTCTGAACAGCACCCACTCCCCTAATGTCTACAATATCACCCTTCCCGTAGATTCGTACAAATGTCGCCAAAGGAACAACTCCATGTTCTCTAAAAGGCCCAGAGAACACACATCGGGTGCCTCTCCCACCCCCCTCATGTTTGTCACCTTGGTCAACTACTGGAAGATGGCGGTTCTGGCCAAAAAGCCAGGTTATATTGTTTTTTGTTGATTCATGGCCAGCCAGCCTGCAGAAGCCAGTGGGACAGTAAAGATAAGTCCTCTTGGTATATTTTGAGTTTTCATTTTACCTTTATCAGGGAAAGCCTGCTTTGCAGATATGACTAGAGAAGAATAAATTGTATTTCACCTTTCTCGTAAATATTATAGGATGTTCTGGGAGATCCTGGCTTCAAGTGACCCTGTAGAGGTTAATCCATTTTCTGGAACCTTGATCTTACTCCTCCCTGTGGACATTGAGCTCCACTCTGAAGGGTGGGGCAAGAGAGAGTGGGAGACTAGGAGGGATGACTTCTTCGCCAGAGTGGGTGGAGAGTAGCAGGTTAGGTTGGCTAGGACTGACAGCCCAGCAGGTTGTTACATAGGGAATTGTTCAGTTCTTGCCATTTAGGACTGTGTAACAGAGAACCACTGTTTAACTTATCTTTTTCCCATTATACAAGCAATACTTTTTCTTTTTTGTAAAACACCTGGAAAAGCAAAAATGTTCTTTCTTTTCTTTTCTTTTCTTTCTTTTTTTTTTTTTTTTTTTTTTTTTTTTTGTTATGGGGTGTGTGCTTGCCGGAGACAGACAAATGGCCATGCCACAAACCTTTCTCCAGTCTCCGCTGGGGACTTTGGGCATGCACACACACATGCCTGACATTGACATGGTTTTCAAGCTGCTGGGTCTAGGACTCCAACTATGGTCTATAGTGTGTGATCCAATGCCTTAACCTCCACGCCACCTGCTGGCCCCCAAAAGCAAAAGTTTTCAAGTCATTTACAATACTCATCAACAGTGATTGGGTATCCTTTCTAGTACTATGCATCCTCATCAATAAATTTGACCTAAAGTGGAATCTTGTTTGTTGTATTTGCATCTCTGATTTCTGTAGACTGCCTGTTTTGTTATGCTCTCTTTAGTTAGGCTGGATACTGTCTGGTTGCATCCTTGGCACAGCTGTTCGTGGTTAGTTTTTGTCACTCAACCTGGTGACCTGTGTGGCCTTTCCTCACGGAGTGAAGAATGTTCACCATTCATGGCAAAGGGGATAAGTGCTGTTGGCAACCCTTTGCTCAGATATTCTTACCAAATGGTGCCCCACTGGCTTTCCTTCTGAACATTTCTTCCTGACCATCTTGCCTTCTCTCCTCTTCTCCAGCCGATGGCGAGACCATTCTAAAAGGACTCCAGTCCATTTTCCAGGAGCAGGGGATGGCAGAGTCCGTACACACCTGGCAGGACCATGGCTACTTAGCAACCTACACCAACAAGAATGGCAGGTGAGGCGAGCTCAAGTGCTCTTTTGATCCAGGCTCTTAAGGAAGATCAGAGAGGGAGATGAAGTGGGGGTTGGGAGTGATACCCAAGTATTTTTCTCCTTTGACATCTGTTGGCAAGGGACTAGAATTAAGTGTTTCTCAGCCTTAGCTGTGTTTACTCTGGGACTACAGCAAATCATGACTAGTCATTCACTCCTCCACCTCACTTTGCTCCTCCTCCACTCTCAGGTTAAGAGCTGCATTTCCAAAGTTCTCTCCAGGCCTTTGCAGCCCTGCCCTGCCTATACCTCTGTTGCAGTTCTTGATGTTTGTACCATAGATACCAATTCCAGTTGTACAGACGACTTAAAATTCTTCCCACATGGGGTTTTTGAGTGAACAAGAGCTGTTTGGAAATTGATTCTGAAAGCAGAAAAAATAAAAACATAGTTTAAAAACTAGGGACTAGTGGATGGCATGCAGTTACATCGCTGGATTCCCACATGGAATCCAGCAGTTTGAGTCCTGGACCTCATGGCTTGAAAATTACGCCGGTACATGTGTGTGCATGTGTGCCCAAGATCCTAGGAGAAGGGGGAAAGGGATTGCAACAAGGTCATTCCCGCTGGAGTGACCAGGGTGATTTCTTACATTCTCTTTCAGTGTCCCCTCCCCTCACCCCAAGTGCACACGCAATAAGGCAAAAAATCTCTTCAAAACAAAACAAAACATAGTTAATTTACTTTCCACATTGGTCTCACTCCTGTCTCACTTGGTCAACTGTTGCCCACCTTCTTCCCCCACCCCTACCTGGGCTTGGGGGAAGGCCAGCAACCCCACATTCATGGGTTTTGACCTGACTTCTGACTTCTTCCCCTTAATGGTCCTTTTGTAATGTTGAGTAGCTTATTGTTTTGCTGCTTTTTGTTGAGGAGTGGTTCCTACTCCTGGCAACTTTTCCTCCTTTTCTGTTTCTGGTTTATCCCCAGGCTCTCCCATCCTGAGTTTGCTACTTGACCTTTTAGCCTTCTCTTGAGTTCTCACCTGAAGCACTAAGTGGTTCAGGGGCAGTGGTTCTCTGTCCTTGCCCCAGGGCCCTCTCCTCCACGGTACTGCTGGCATGGAGGGCAATGAAGGACTGTGCACTCACTCTGGTATACATGAGTTTGTGATGTGTGGGCCTGTACTCGATTGGGAAGCCATTTAGGGGCTGAAGGTAAAAATGAACTAGCTTTATTTTTTAAATCCAAGCACTCTACCTGTATTCTCTGTGCAGAATTCCTCTCCTAATTTATTATTTTTCAAACGTTTTCTTTAACCACCATTTATAATAAAGAGTAATTTTATATCATGAACCCAGAAATACACATTTCTGGACATGGAACACAAATGCATAATAAAAACAAGTTTCATCAAGCAATTTTAGTGCTTATGATGTACTCAGACTCAGTTATATCTGTTCCATAATGGACTGATCAGATCCATTCAATTAGGAGTCAGAAAATTTTGTGTAAGGAGCTACTTAAGTGGTGGACACATTCTTTTTTTTTAATTGTGGTACACATTCTTTTTTTTTTTTTTTTTTTTTAAGAATTATTTTATTTATCCTTATTTATTTATTTAATTTGACCAGAGAGGACAGAGAGAAAGCAAAGCCGCTAAGGTCCGGACTTGAACCACAGTTAGCCATGTTGGAGTCCAGCACCATTAACCACCATGCCACCTGCCAACTCCCACATTCTTCTCTTTGAAAATGTAAACCATTCTTAGCCTGCAGACTTTACAGAAACTCGCTGTGACTAGAGTTTGTTGCCACTAAATTTGTTTACCCATTACCTGCCTTCGGTCAGGAAAATGGGGTCTGGTTTGAACTTGAAAGTTTATTGGGAGCCCCCAGTTTACCCTTCCCTTGTTCCCTCCAGCTTTAGGTTATTTGTTACTAAACCAGATAGAACCCGGGGATCCTTTTTAAAAACTAAATTCACAGAACTGCTAAACCACTTTCTAAAACTTTAGCATCTGGGACCTTCTAAATCTTCTATAAATGATTCATTGCTTATCTTCCCATGAAGGGTCCCTAATAAGAAAGCGAAGAGTTAACACATTTGGGGTAAAAGAAGAATATTCTTTTTCTTTTAACTGGGGGTGGTATCTTTTTTCATTTGAGGGCCATGTGATACAATTCCTAACCTGAAAAATTGTACTTGATTTTGTAGCTTCGCCAATTTGAGAATTTACCCACACGGATTGGTGTTGCTGGACCTTCAGAGTTACGACAGTGATGTGCAGGGCAAAGAAGAAATCGACAGCGTCAGTTTTCTTTTTTTTTTTTTTTTTTTTAACAAGATCTTTTCACTCAATCATCCTTCCTGAAATTGCAGCGTGGCCATCCCCCCTGGTGGGTGATCTAGCTTAATGACATTAAAATTATTTTCTCTTCATTACTGGTTTCCCAGATAACTTGATTTTAGAATTCTCTCCCTCCAGATAGGTGGTTTTTAAAAGAGAAATAATAGTTTCTTTGTTGTTTGTGGGAATCTGACTAGTAGCTTTCTCTTCATCAGTGCAAATAATGGTTTTACCTTCTCATTAGAGGGAATGTAGACCCTGTAACCAGGATCTTATACCTGCTATATTATGTATCCTTCCCCTTCTCAACTATTTCGTTGCTTAGAGGAAGGCCAGGTTGGCACCATGAGGATAGTGGGCGTGGAAGTGTGGAATTGAGCCAGGCCTGAGGCTGTGGTGGAGATGAGGGGACAGGTGTGTGTGTGTGTTGAGTGCACAGCTCTGTCAACATGGCCTCTGTTTTCTGGTCCGTAATTTAGCTCTTCCATACAGCTGATTCTACAAGTCCACTGATTTCTTTTCATTGTAGCTTTTGAACAAAGTAGAAGAAAGAATGAAAGAATTGAATCAGGACAATACTGGGCGGGTAAAAAGGTAAGTCCACAGTCTACTCTTAAATGTTCTTTTTATTACAGTTACTTGTTTATTTCATGGAAGAGAGAATACATGTACCCTCAATAGCTCAACAGGGTCTTGTCATGTTGCATTCCTTCTCCCAGTGTCAGCCTTCCAGCCAGCCAGGATCATGGGCACGCCTGGTATGTTCAGGTGTGCCCAGGGTCCAAACATGGATCCTTCCCATATGGCTCTACTGTCATCCAATGGTACCCAGCCATCTGCAACACCATGGCTGTGTCTTGAGTGTCCTTTTAGAATTGTTTAATTGGTAAAATAACTTGAATGGCGATGTTCTTCCTAGTAGTGTGTGCTTAAGTTGTGGAAAAGATCAAAATCAGCGACCAAGCTTTTAACAACATGGTAGACTGAGCTATTAGCCTCCTTGCACTGAAACAAGACAAAATGTGGGAAAACACACACACACACACACACACACACACACAGAGAAAGAGAGAGAGAGAGAGAGAGAGAGCGAGAGAGAGAGAGATGCTGATGAAATGAAAGAGACAGGCAGAAAGGCAATGTGGAGTGATTCCATGGAACTAAATAATGCAGAGATCCAGGTCAGTGTGAAGGGAGCGTGAAACTCCTGAACCACTGTCACCCTCCCAGAAAGAGAAAAGAACGCTTGTCTCTGCTGGGCCCCAGAGTAGAATGAAGCAATTTTCAGAGACTTCTCACAGAGTGGTGTAATTTCGTAAAAATTGGCTTCAAAGCTTTCAAATAATACAACTTTCTAAGGTACTGTGAATTGAGAGGGAGAGGCCACTTGCTTTGAGCTGCTAGGTTATTTTCTGATAATGAAAAAAATGAAACTTTCTCTGTCTAG